AAAAGCAAATAAGCAACCCATCTTTCAGGGCTCCCCTCTCCTCACCACCAAGAGTGGCTCAAGTTTTGCATGGCCAAGCCCCTTCCAACCTCGCCCTGCACCCACTACCTCAGCCCCTTCTCTTCCTCTTGCCTATTTCATCCAGCTACACACTTGCTGCAGGGCACTTGATTATGCTGTTCCCTCTACCCTAACCCCTTGGCTTGGATAGACCCTTTCATTGCATAGTTCCTTCTCTCTGTCACCTCCTCAGGAATGCTTTCCCTGGGCTGAGACGACTCTGGAGTTGGACAGGCCTGGGTTTGAGGGACTCTGCCTTTCTAGGCTTATTTGCTCATTGGTATAGCAGATGCTCATCAGGCAAGGGAGGTGCAGCCCAGACCTGGGATGGTTGCCCTATCCCAGGGAACTATTTTGGGAAGTTCACAGCTTGCTCCTCACACCTTGCTTCTCAGAAGCTAATAATGGCAGTGCCTGAGTGGCTGTGGGTAGGTGACAAGGAATTAGGGCCAGCTGACCCAGGCAGACCCAGTCTAGGCCATGTGGGGGGCTGAGCAGAGCTGAGCTGGATTGGGAGGCCCTGCCTGGCTCAGTGGTAGGTTCTGAATCCTCATCATCCCCTCAGATCACCCAGCCCACCCAATGGTCCTGAATTCAGCTGCCCAGTGGGCTCACAGAACAGGATACTCGAGTCAGTAGGATTCCCAGGTTTGTTTATTCACTTTATAACCACTTATATCAGTTATCAGGCACTTGTTCTAGGCCTGGCCTGGGCCAGACTCAGGTATATAACAGGCCCTGACTTCATGGAGCCTAGGACCTCTTCAGTTGTAGCCTGATGAAACCACATATAGCATAACCCCCAGAGCACATCAAAATGCAGACTCTAAGACTCTGATCCAGACCTAATGAATGAGTCCTGGCCCCAGTGTTGCTGTTGTTAGGTTCTGTTGAGCCAGTTCCAAATCATAAGCAACACTGTGTACAACAGAACAAAACACTGCCTGATCCTGGCCATCCTCACAATCGTTGCTGTGTTTGATCCCATTGTTGCAACCACTATGTCAATCGATCTCATTGAAAGTCTCTTTTTCACTGACCCTCTGTTTTACCAAACATGATGTCTTTTCCAGGGACTAGTTCCTCCTGATAATAGTCCAAAACAATTGAAACAAACTCTTGCCATGTCACTTCTAAGGAGCGTTCTTATACAGATTTGTTTGTTCTTCTGTTAGTCAATAGTATATTCACTATTCTTCGCCAACACCATAATTCAAAGCCATCACTTCTTCTTTGGATTTCCTTATGCATTGTCCAACTTTCATGTGCATATGAGGTGATTGAAAATATCATGGCTTGGGTCAGGCACACTTTAGTCCTCAAAGTAACATCTTTGCTTTTTAACACTTTGAAGAGGTCTTTTGCAGTAGATTTGCCCAAAGCAATACATCGTTTGACAAGTAAAACCCAGAGATCTGCATTTTCTACAAGCTGATTCTGATTCTGATGTTCTGCAAAGTCAGAGAATCATTGTTTAATGGGCAAGACAGACAAGAAACCAGTTACAATCTAGTGTGATCAGTGCTGAGGTAGGAAGGGGGATGCAACTGTGGAAGCCCAGTGGAGGCCCCTCACCTATTTGAGGAAACCTGTAGGAACAAACACTTTTGAGTTGGCCTTGGTCAGGTAAAGTGGGGCTGAAGGGGTAGTGCATTCCAGGCAGGAGGCCAGCATGTGCAAAGCTTAGGAGACAAGAGGAAGCCAAACAGCTTAGCTGGACTGCCAGCAATTCAATCAGGCTAGAGAGGGAGTGGCATTAGGAGAGGGCAAGATGGGTGGGAAGGTGCAGCTCTTTATGCAGGGCCAGAAAAGAATGTTTTTGGGAAACAGGTGTAGGTGGAAAAGAGACTTGTTTAAAATGCTCCCAAGTCTTATTAAGTAGCATAAACGTGACTGAATCAGTGTTTGTTGAATGAATGAAAGGAGTCCTTAACTTCATTACGCTTTCAATTGGAGCGTCAACTAAGCCTCTATTCTACAGAAGTGAATACTGTGCTCCCTAGGAGCTCTGGTAGCATAGTGCCTAAGGCACTGGACTGCTACTAGCAGTTCAAACCCACCAGCCGCTCCCGGGAAGGAAGATGGGGCAATCTACTTCCTAGTGATGTTGTTGTTTGTTGTTATTTGCCGTCGAGTCGGCCCCGACTCCTAGCGACCCCTCCTTGGGTTTCCGAGGCAGTATCACTACGGAAGTAGGATTGCCCAACCTTCCTTCCGAGGAGTGGCTGGTGGGTTTAAACCGCCAGCCTTCTGGTTAGCAGTCAAGTGCTTTAGCCACTATGCTACCAGAGCTACTGCCTCGGAAACCCAAGGAGGGGTTGCTATGAGTCGGGTCCGACTGGATGGCACATTAACAACAACTGTGTTCCCTGCCCTGGGAGTTCCTTCCGTCACCCCATTCACCCTACGCATTTTTCTTCTTCTTTTTATTTTTGATGTGGTGAGCTATATACATTATTATTATTATTTTTTAACCAATTCAACCAGATAATTTTAACAAAACAGTTGTCTGCTTTGTGTGCTTTTCTGCCGGTCAGAAAATGGCAGAGAACAGCTAAGTCCCTGGGACTTTGGCCTTAGTTTACTAATATGAAGTGGTTCAACCCAGATCCCATCCTGCCGAGGTAGCACCTCTGCTTTGAGCATGCGTTCTGACCGGCACTCAGGTCCCGCCAACCCCAGGCAAGTTCCAGATACAGGAGAGTCTTTACTCCCGGCCACAGGTCCCATCCAAACCAAAGCTCCCACCAAAGTCCAACACGCCCCCCAAGCTAGCACCTGATTGGTCCGCCCTGCCCACATTTCGAGCCGGCCTCACCTTCTGAATGGCAGTTCTACTCTCCGGTCTGTCCCGTAACCTTCCCCCTTTCTGATTGGCCAGGCACCGACCTGCGCTCGCCTTGGATTGGGCACCGGCTTGGTCGGTTCGCAGGCTCCTAGGTGCCCCGCTCTCTGATTCGTCGTTTGGGCCAGCCCCACAGCCTACACGCTGAATGGTTGCGCTGCTACTTGTATCTACCTCTGATTGGGTGCGCGGCGCCTCCCCGGCGTGATAGGTCAGGACCACCGCCCCCTTGGCTCCCCATTGGCTGCTCGGCGAAGCCCGGTCTCCGGGTAAGATGGCAGCGGACGGACAGTGCTCGCTCCCTGCTTCATGGCGGCCAGTGACCCTCACCCACGTCGAATATCCTGCAGGTAACAGGCGGCCCCGGCTCCGAGAACGCCTTGCCGGGACCATCCCCTCAGCCACGGGCGCTCCGACCCGCGCGAGCCTGAGAAGAGGGCGCAGGGAGACTCGGGTGGGAACTGTCAAATAGTGAGCTATGGAGGGGCTCGGCCGGCGCGCGCGCCGCGCAGGCGCATTGGTGCGGCGATGATCTGGGCGAAATTACCAGCCGCTCGCTCGCGTACTCTGCGGCTGCGCATCTGGGGCGCTCCCCCAGGTCCCTGGGTGCGAGTGGTCTGTAGTGGGTCGCGGGGCTATCGTGATGCGGAAAAGGATCATTGACTTGAACATTGCCCTCTTCTTTCGCCCTTCTCGGAGCCAGGGAGGCCGGACTTTCCTTGGTGTGCAGGGAGTGCCTGTTTCCTTCAAACAGTGCTGTGAATTTGCCTGTAGTAGAAGGAGCTCCCCATTTCTGGGAGTGTGCAAGCTGAGGCCAGGCAGCTATTTATCGCTTGGGTAGCTTCTGGGTGCCACGCCCTGAGCAGAGCGCGGCTTCACAGCAGAGGGCTTGTTAAGGGGCAAGCAGCCTCAGGATCTTGACTTCTGAGGGCTACCATTGAAAAATATCTCTAGAAGTTTAGGGTGTTCCAGTTGAGAGGTCCATTAGCTACCGGAAGGGAGGCGGTCTAGTACAAGTGGTGCAGAACTTGGGCCTTTGAGACACAAGAATTTAGGCTCAAGCTCAGGCTAAGGCCTTGTGCAAGTGACTTTACCACTCTGTGGCTCAGTTACTTCATCTCTAAAATGGATCTAATTTACAGTGCCTCACTCAGGTGGCGTGAGAATCAGGGTAACACAAGGCATGAGACATGCCTAGTGCACTTAAGTAAACATTCAACAATAACTACAGTTAATATTATTTCACCTTCTCAGGGCCCTGTGAAGCCTACCTTTCTCTCCCTGGGTAGGATGGTGGGGGTGCAAGGTGAGTCCTGGTTGCCCTAGGAAGAGCCTGCTTCTGCTGTTCTCATAGACAGAGGTGTGAGAACCTGGGCCTGCTGCAGACCTCAAGGCTGGTGGCCAGGGATCTTTGACCCTGGGTGTTCTGGGTTATACTGGAGAGGGGGTGGCCCGGACAGGTGCTGATCTCTTCCTGCCTGCCCGCCCACCATTCATTCATTCAGCCAACATTCACTGAGCCCTTGAGTGCCAGGCCCCAGACTGGCACAGGCCGAATATGTCCCTACCCTCCTGGGCTGTGAGAAACCTCCACTTTATAAGACAGAAACTGAGACCTGGGGAAGGAGGAGACTTGGCTAAGGCCTCAGCACTTCTGTGACCTCCCCTCTCTGGCTTCAGAGTAGCTGCTTGTAATGCACATAGTCTAACAAGAAAGGAAGGAATCCGTACTGCAAGCAACATGACACAGGCTGTGATGAGGGACTCTTTGCAGGTACTATGGATGCCCAGAGGAGGGACCTGGCTGAGTCTGGAGGCATCTGGTGAATACCAGTTTCCTGCACACTCCTATGCCCCCCTGCACTTCTCCCTCTTACCCTTCATCACACTGGTAGTTGCTTCACCCATCTATTCACTTAATGTAGTTTTGCAGCCCAGTTAAGTGCCAAGTGCTGCGCTTGGTTTGTGGGGTAGAGCAGAGTGTAAAAAGACCCTACTACTTCTCTTACGGAATATGGAGGGAGAGACCAACTTCAGCCCAGTATCTGCACTGATGACGAGTGTTACCATGAACGATGCTCTGGTTACAGATCACTGCCAGACTGAGAGCTCCACCCACGGTGGCAGGGACTGTACCTGCCTTTTTTTTTTTTTTTTGCTACTGTGGTGGATACTTTATGTATGTTTGTCGCAGTGACCCAGACAGCATCCCAGGTAGGGGAAACTGTGTGCAAAGATCTAGAAGTAGGACAGAGCACGGTGCGTTCAGGAGCTAATGTTAGGTCCCTGGAACTGGAGCAGAAGATGGGAGAAGCAGGGCCAGGACTGTGTAGGACTTGATAAGCTGGGCTGAGTTTGGACTTAGCCCAAGAATAGTAAGAGCCAGGAAGGGGCTTGCATCAGAGAACGGCTAGGGTAGAACTGCTGACGATATCTGCAGGAATGGACTAGAGTGATCCTGACTGTGGGATGGGCCATGTAGATGGCCAAATGTTCAGGGGAGCCAGCCACCCCCTGTCCTCACAGCCCAGTGCCTTGGAGTCAGCCAAGAGACCCAGTATCTCAGGGCTGGAAGGGGCTAGGCCATTGTATGAATGGGCAGACAGCCCCAGAAAAAGTAGGGCCTTGCCCAGTGTTACCTCTTCACCCAGGGGGCCCAGTTGATGTTACCCAGGTGGATGCCCAGTTCTTCCAGGCCAATTCTAAGCCAGTACTAGCTTGGGTAGGTGGAGGTGAGGCCTGGTATGTGTGCCTATCTCTTCAGGCTTGGGATCTGGACTCAGCCGTGCAAGGGCACCTTCCCTGATGCCTGTGTGAGGTCAGGCTGGTGGTAAGAGCCATTTGCCACACTGAGTCCTCTCAACATGGAAGTATGTTGGTTACCAGGCACTGAGCTGGCCATCTCACAGTCCCCATCTCATCAAATGCTCACACAGCCATAGGAAATAGGCACTAATAGTCCCATTTTACAGGCGAGAAAGTTGAGACTAAGGGAGGTGAAGTCCTGGCCTGAGGCCATGCAGCCAGCAAGTACTGGCCCGAGACCTGAACTGTGCCATCTCAGCCCAGAGTAACCATATAGCTGCTCAGCCTCAAATGTGGAGGGCAGTCTTTGGACTTAGGCTTAGCCCTGCCCTTGGGCAGGGGGAAAGTGGCTTTCACCTCTCAGTCTCTCAAAAGCACCAGTGTTCTTCACACTGCCTCTGTTCTAGGCCTGTTAGGAGAGTAAAAAACGGGTAACTAGACCCATTTCTTGCCAGTGGAGAGATGGCTGCTTGGCAAAGTCCAGTCTGCAGGTAATCTCCCTGGAGGCCCAGAGTTCAGCTACAGCAGCCCCAGCAGGTAGCCTCTGTGTACGGAGGCTGCCCCATGCTCTCCAGGCTGCCTCCCCAGCACACGATCTGGCCTCCAGAGTCAGACCGAGCTGAGTTCAAATCCTGCTTGGCTGGGAGTGATGGGTAAAAAGCCCTGCACCGGACTAGAGACTTGGATTTTATAGTCCATGCCCCCGTCTCACGCTGGCTATGTGACTTTGGGCAAGTCATGCAACCCCTCTGGAACTTAGTTTCTTCATCTATAGAATGGAGATAGTAAAGGCACCTCATGATATGTGAAGTTTTTCATTGTTGTTGTGTGCAGTTAATTCTGACTCATAGCAACCCTATAGCACAGTAGAACTGCCCCCAAAGAGTTCTCTAGGCTGTAAATCTTGATGGGAGCAGGATGCTAGGTCTTTTTTCCCACAGGCGGCTAGTGGGCTTGAACCACTGACCTTTCAGCTAGCAGCGAAGCACATCACGACTGAGCCACCGAGGCTCTTTGTGTGAACTTTAGTGCTTGGTAAACAGATGCTGTCATACTGTGCCTATGACTGAGTTGACAGGGCCAGTTGGCAGACTGAGGTGTTGCTGACGACCTGGCCCTGTACTTCTGGCCCTGCTGGGGACCCCTTTTTGGGCTCAGGCCCTACTTGAATAACAGACTTGCTGGGGACTGGCCCAGGGCTTGAGCCCGCTCACAGGGTCCAGCTCCTTTTCTGTGGATTCTTGTGTTCCAGCCTCATCCCACTCTCCCTGTCTTCTCCAGGTGATCTCTCAGGCCACCTCCTTGCCTACCTGAGCCTCAGCCCTGTGTTTGTCATCGTTGGTTTTGTGACCCTCATCATATTCAAGCGGGAGCTGCACACGGTGAGTCTGCCCCAAATTGCCACCTTCTACCTGCTCCCCAGTAACTCCATCCTAAGAAAGAGGAAGCTGCAATCTCCCAGGTGCTTGCCTTCCCCTTCCCTGCTTCCCCCTTTTTTGAGGTGGATGGAACTTCCTGACTAGTTCCACGTTTGTTTACTGGTTGAACTGGACGGTCCAGTCGGGCCAGGATCCTGGGACTGGGTGGTGGCCAGCAGGCACCCAGAAGCCCAACTGATCGCACCTCTTCCCCAACAGATCTCATTCCTCGGGGGCCTGGCACTGAACGAGGGGGTCAACTGGCTGATCAAACACGTCGTCCAGGAGCCACGGCCCTGTGGAGGTAGGACCTGGTCCAGAGGGACTAGGGGGTCCCCCGGGTCAAGGCATTACTTGGATGCCTAAATCCTCCCATGATGCCCTGCTCTCCTTTCTCTCCCAGGCCCCCACACTGCAGTGAACACCAAGTACGGGATGCCCTCTAGCCATTCCCAGTTTATGTGGTTCTTCTCTGTCTACTCCTTCCTTTTCCTGTATTTAAGGTGAGCTTTTGCCCTGCCCTGGGTGGCAGGGTTGTGTGTGTGCCAGGGGTCACTGTTAGCCCCTAGGACTCCCTCTGGGGCTTGGCCTCCCCTAGGGGTGGGAGGAGCTGGAGCCAAGTTAGAAGGTGCCCAGGGATTATCTGGATGGGGCCAGGGGCTATTTGGGAGACCCAACTCCAGGCTGTGGGCTGAGGCCTTCTGATGGGCCTGTTTTCCCAGAATGCACCAAACGAACAACGCCAGGTTCCTGGACTTGCTGTGGAGGCACGTGCTCTCCCTGGGTCTCCTCACTGCAGCCTTTCTAGTCTCCTACAGCAGGTACAGAGGAAGGGAAAGCCTCCCCGATACATACCTTGTCCACTTGGGGCCTTTCTGGATTCTTGGTCTCAGTTGGAGTCCCCAGGGTAGACCCTAGTCCCAGAGCCTGTAGGGCAGGGCTGGGGCCAGAGTCTCAGCCTCTGGCTTTAGAGGCACTAGGCTCCAGCTGCCCTTTCCAGCCCAGCCTTTACTCTTTCTTCCCAGCTGAGCTCAAGGTCCTGGGGACACCTTCACGTTTTAGCCACCTGTTCCCAGAGTCCTGGAGAAGCCCCTTGCAGATGACCTCAGAATTCAAGGGCTGGATGGAAGAGAGGCAGATCCCAGCTGAGCCACCCTCCCCCCTCACTTCTAGAGACAGAGGAGCAGCGGTTGGAGCACAGCTCCCTGCCTCCTTCCAGAAGTAGCTTTGAGGCTCTTGTTCACAGGACCCTGTGTCCTATCTGTGTGTGTCTCCACATGTGTGCACACAGGTCCCTGGGAAGCTGGAACGTGGGCGTGGGGGATTGTGGAGACCTGTCTCTGGTTGGCTCTCATGAGCTTCCCTTCTGGCCTTGGCCCAGGGTCTACTTGCTATACCACAGCTGGAGCCAGGTGTTCTATGGGGGCATCGCCGGGAGCCTCATGGCCATCGCCTGGTTCATCTTCACCCAGGAGGTCCTCACCCCACTGTTCCCCAGGATAGCAGCCTGGTAACTGCCTCCTGCCCCTGTTGCTGCCCCTCCTGCCTTCCTGGGTACCAGGGCCCCTGTTCCTTCCTGCAGATGGGGCCATCAATAGGGGGACCCATGTGTCTTGACCCCAGCCACAGCCTCCCTGGCAGGGCCCTAGTGCCCCGGTTCTGGTGAGGTCCACTTGCTTGGCTTCCACCTCTTCCACAGGGTTGGCTGCAGAGATGTGGGGAAGGAGGGGTTCCTCAAGCCCAGAAGGAAGGGTCTCATCCTCTGTCCTTGAGTAGGCTCTCAGGGACTTGGAAAACTGCCCCAAGACTTGTTGGGCTGTGTGTACCATGGGGTGGTGCCTTTGCTTAAGATGACCCAGGTGACATGACTGGTTCACTCGTGGCTTTGGGGGTTTCAGGCCAGGCGAAGACTTCCTGGGCAGTGGGGCGAGGGGCAGCACTGGTGCCAGGCACTGACTGGGGCGTCTGGTGTGGTGACCGTCTTTTGCCCTGATGTAGCCCTTCCTTTCTGGGCATCTCTTTCCAGGCCTGTCTCTGAATTCTTCCTAATCCGAGACACAAGCCTCATTCCCAACGTGCTCTGGTTTGAGTACACAGTAACCCGGGCAGAAGCCAGGTGAGTTTGAGGGGCCCAGCTCTAGGTCTGTCCCTGCCTCCTTGGAGAGGGTTCCTCAAGAGCCAGGTACTTGCTTAAGCACTTTCCTCTCGTTGCCTCATTGAATCTTCTTATGGCCCCCATTTTATAGGTGGGAGTTCTGGGGCTCAGAGGGAAGGAAGTCTCCTGCCTGAGGTTTGGCAGCTAGTGAGTGGGGAGGTGTGTCTTGAACGTGTGTCTTGAACCTAGGCTGCCTGGCCATAGCCTGTGCTTTTCACCTCTATGACCTGGAAACAGAGACCAGGGCAGCGTGGATGCCCAGGGTGCCTGTGTGCACCCTTGGAGTTGTTTAGTCCAGACATCTTTTTATAGATAGGTAAACTGAGGCACAGTGAATTGGGGGCCAGCCATGGTTGCACAGCTGGACTTTGGAGTCTCCTGACTCACGTTCTGCTGGTCCCCTTACCCTAAGTCCTGGGTGAGGCACCCAAAGGAGTGAGGAGAGGGGTGGCTTCTCCCAGAATTCAGAGGGCACCTGAGGTGAGCTTAGGCTCCAGAGCGTGGAAGAGGAAGCTCAGGCCCTGGGAGGTTTTCCAAGGAGCTGGTGAGAGGAGCCATGGGGTGGGGCAGGCTGGGATGAGACCATTGCAGCAGCCAGGAAATGTGTTTAGTGCATCATGGTCCCAATTATCCTAATGAGCTTAAGAGTAAAGCCACGGATCCATGAGAAAAGGGGATTTGAGCGGGTTAGGGCAGGGCAGTTCCATTAGTGGTGGAAAGGCCCCAGCTGGCTTCAGCTGAGTACTTCCCCTGGTCCCGAGAGTGGCCAGCCCCACCCTGCCCTGCCCTGCCCTGCCTGGCTGGCTGCCACCAGCCTTCATTTACCAGCATCTCAGTGTGTTTTCACTCTTTGCCAGGCTTTGTGCTGGGCTTAAGTGCAGAGTGACATAGCCACCATCCCTGCCCTTGTGGTGCTCCTATCAGGCAGGGCAGACAGATGTGACCAGATGGTGACACAAGGAATGATACGCCTACCTGATGAGTGCCGTGGAGCGAGGCCTAGGGCCTCGAGAACTTGTGACAGGGGGAGACACGATGTGGGAGTAGAGTCAGGGACAGGCTTCATAAGAGAAAACAGACCCAAACAGTGCAGAGGAAGAGAAGGCCAGCTGAAGTTGGGGGCTGGCAGGAGAGTGTTCTCAGCAGAGGGAACAGCATATGCAGTACTCCTGAGGCAGGACGAAGCCCAGTGAATCCACCAACGGACAGAGCCTGTGTGGCTGGAACCAGAGAGCCAGGGGGTAGGGTGAGATGGGGCCAGACCACGCACGGTCTTATGGGTCTCTGTTATGTGACCCATATTTTAACTATGGGACCCTAGATAAGCCCCTTTCTACTCTCTGGGCCTCGGCCAACCTCCCCTGAAAATATGAGCGATCATCCCTGCTCTCGTAAAATTCCTGGCCTATCATGGATGTAGTCACACCACCAAACCTCAAATCCCCATCCATAACCTCCATTGGTAGTTGTCCTATCTTTGCTTGCATACTTTCTGAAGGGAGTTCAGTATCTTATGGTAATTCTGTTTTGGTTGTTAATAATAGAACCCCACTTGTGTGAGTTTATATGTGAAGGGGAACTTCTCATAGTTAGTTGGAACCCAGCAAGGTTTCTTTTGCCTGTTTTCTCATCTTGATCCACCCTCCCCACACCTGACCACATGGCCTTCAGGGCTGAGATCTATGATGAAGGGCTGGCCAAAGTGAGTGACCACCTCTAGGTTCCAAGCCCAATTCTCAGAGCAGGAGCTCTGATTGGCCCAGCAGTTGCCCATTTCATTTGGACTATGGGTAGGGAGGGGACCACTGGGTAGAGGGACTCGGGGTCTGGCTCACTGAGCTCCAGGCATCCTAGAATCTGACCGCTGTTCACATTTTTCAGGAACAGACAGCGCAAGCTGGGGACAAAACTACAGTGACTGGTGGATGTGGCTGGGTCCAGCTTCCAAGTCTGGCCTGCACAATGCCTTGCAGGATGGACAGAATGACGGACAGAGGGATGAGGCAGAGACCTCTACAGACCCAAGTCACCAAGTGGAGCCTTTTTTTTCTTATTTTAATTTTAATGAACAAGTTGGACCAAAAGGCCAAGCCAGCCCCTCAACTGGGACCCTGGAGGGTCTGCTGCCAGGGGCCACAGGGCCAGAGCCCTTCACTGTGCTGCTGCCAGCCCCTGGTCAGGCAGAAAGTACCCTTGGCATGGGCACTAGGGTGTGGGGTAGAGGAGGAGGGCTTGTGCCTCTGGTCTCAGGGCCAGGAAGTCCAGGTGGAGTGAAAAGTACACACTATTTATTTTTTGGTTTTTGTCAAAGGCAGATAGGATTTTGGGGATGAGGCCGTGAGAGACCCTATTCTGCAGTGGCTGGGTTGCACACAGAGGGGCCCGGCTCAGCTTCCCAGGCCCTTTGCCTTGAGCCCAGAACTCCCTGGGCCTGCGAGATGACCTGGGGGACCAGGAGGAGGAAGCCACCCCGTTCCGTCCCTGCCACCATTGCCATTCCAGAACCTCATTCAGTGTTTCCTTGTCTGGGGTGAGTGCCCAGAGAGAGCACACGTCTGGTGGCTGCTATCACTGGGTTCTGTCCCGCATTGATCCTATACCACAAGGGCTTTCTCTGGTCCCCTGTCCCCAAGACAATGGTCCCTTTCTGACAAAAGAGCCTGCACATTGTGGGTGAGCAAACCCAAGCCGTTTACCGCTCTTTTTTGTCCTGCCATCTGGTAGCATTTAGTCTTCATCCCCACTTGAACAAAATGCTAAGGCACTAGGAGCTGGGGTGAGCGGAACAGGGCAGTGGGTGCCTGATGTCCCCCTCCCTTCCCTTGGCGTGCTCTGAACATGTCATTGTCCTTCCTACCCTTCTCCAGTAGGCTGGAACCCACTCAGGTTCACCCTGAAGTCTTGTGTTGGGGCCTGGGCTCACTGATCCGCCACGGAGCCAGCTCAGAGGAGGCTCTTCCTGAAGGGACCAACCTCTAAGTTGCTCTGAGACGAAATTGTGGGGAGGAGAAGCTTTCAGATTGTTAGAGGAGTTTCTAGAACTGAACCAGGCCACTTAAGATCTGTGTTTGAATCCTTTTCTCCCTGTTTTCTTTGTGGAGGTTCCTAATCTGCTGCTGAAGCACAATATTTTGGTGCTTTCTTTTCTCTCATTTGTTAAAGACAGTGTCCAAAAGCCATTCCAGATGCTAGGACCAGGGGCTTATTTCTGGGGAAGGTAGGTCAGTCCCCACATTTCCCTTCCCTCCCCTTCTTATTTTTATTTTTTACTTTTTTGCCTGAGACAAGCCAAGTGTGAGGTGGTTTGATTTAAGAAAAATCATTGAAATTGTTTACTATTGTTTTAAAATAAAATTGTAAACTCTGGCGGCTTGAGCACATGTTGACTCAAACTCATGGGAGGAGGCTGGGGGCAGCTGAAGGTACACATGATGACGAGAATCAAGGATGTGGTTAAGAACATGACATCGTAAGCCTCTCCAAGACATCTAGTCCCCTCCAGCCCTCAAAGCAAAGCAGGGGTTTGAATTGGCTCTGTGGCATTGCCCACCAGGGTTTGTCTAGCCTCTGGGTACATCCATCCCTTCAGTGAGGAAACCTTGCCTCACTGAGATTCAGCATACTACTTCTAGACAGCTGTCAGCATTAGAAGATTTTCCTTCTTTTTGGTTCCAGTCTGCCCCCCTGTGTGGTCCTTGGTGGCCCTGGCTCTGCCCTTAGTAAATCTCATTCCTTCTTTCATGTGCACTGGGGACAACCAGCTTCTCCTCCCTAAACTTCCTCCAGGATAAACATCCCCTCTTTGTTTAATTCAATGTTTGTTGAGTGTATGGCTGGATTACTATCTCCCTTTGAAAAAGTCACTGCAAACTGAGCTGGGTGTTTGGAGGCCTTGTAGGAGTAAGAGGAACACAAGTGAAACCCCAGAGCTGGCCCAAGGTGGGAAGTCTAATCTTTCCTCCATCATTAAGTGGAGATGCAAATGAGCTACATCCTCAGGGTCAGGATGAATCAGAAGTAATCTCTTCCTCACATGGGCCTGAAAACTGGGCTCAGGTCTCCCAAGTGGTCCATGATATTGCTAGATGCCCTCGAGTTGGTTCTGACAGAATGAAACACTGCCCAGTCTTGTGTCACCCTCACAGTTTTGGCTGTGATTGAGCCCATTGTTGCAGCTACTGTGTCAACCCGTCTCATTGAGGGTCTTCCCTTGATGTTCTTCAGGGACTGGTCCCTCCTGATAACATACGTGAAATGAAGTCTCGCATCCTCACTTCCAAGGAGCATTCTGGCTGTACTTCTTCCAAGATAAATGTTTGTTGTTTGGCAGCCCATGGTATAGTCAATATTTTTTTTGAAATTCAGTTAAGGTGACCTCAGATGGTTATGATCCCATGTATGTGGCCAAGACAAACCCCTGGAGGAAGGAACCTTTATCCTAGACTTTATACAAATAACTTGTAAATAACGTAACCAAAATAGAGACAAAGATGACCAGATCCGAAAGGCAGTAAGACACCATGAGTACCAGCAGAAACAACAGACAATAGAAACAGTCTCAATACTTCAGATGATGGAATTAATCAGGGACAAAATGCAAAAAACGGCAAAGAGGCCACATGTTCTGACCTCCTCCAATCCACAAGAGGAAGACAGAATTACCATCAATAGGCCAAGGCCTATTACTGCAAGGTCAGACATGCTGCCTCCCTCCAGCTCTTTCTCCAACCGTTCCTCCCAAAGCACCCACCACCTCTCTCCTGGGTTCGATAATGTGCTGCAGTGGCCACGCAGAACTCACAGATTACGGGGTTTATTAGAGAAGCACCAGGCTACAATTCAAGTTCAGGAAAAACGCTTAGTCTCTTTCCCAGCCCACCATCTCTCAGCCAAGTCTCTCACAGTCTCTCCCCCAGCAGTGCATGTCCCTTTGTGTCTTTCCCAACAGCACATGTCTCTTCCAGCAGCACATCTTCCTCAACCAGCAGAGTTCTGCCTCTAGGAGGCCTCCTTTTGAGCTTGGCAGAGTGGCCAAACTAGCCAATCATAGTATCAGAACTCTAAACACCTGAGAGAGAGCCTTCCATAACATTGTGTTGTGCCATGCCCAACAGAAGTAACCCAGGTGGATAACATTTACAATCAGGAGCTCCTCAGTTGCTCATTCCACCACTGAGTTGACAATGACTTATGGGTAGAAAAGCCATACTAAGTAATTTACTACACTGCACAAACTAAATTGTTTTACTATTTCAAAGAAATAAGAGAGAAACTTGAAAATATCTGCAAGGAACAGAAAACACTAAAAGTGGGCTCAGTCTATGTTTAACTTTTTAAGTTTATAACATGCTCAAATTTCAAATGGTATGTAAAATATTTAAGTTTGAAACAGTTCTTTTCTACTCAGTATTTTGCACATACACACAAAATTGAAGCTCTTCTCCTCCATCTTTGGCACCAGGGTCTAGTCACCCTTAGGGTTGCCTCTGGGTCACCCAAGTTCTGGGTCTGCTGTCTTCACTATAGCCAAGTGGTTTGAGATACAGAAATGCCTTCTGAATTTTATGCATGATGCAGTTACTGGAAATTTTATCCAAAGCTACAAGTACGCATTGGCATAACATTCAAACAGTTGGGTTTTCACAAACCCATCCTGCAAAAGTGTCTTGGTGCTTGAACAATGTCTCTTAGAAAGATCAGCACGAGGCTGGTCCCCATGAGGCGGAGGTCAAAGATGTCCCAAAT